ACGGGCTTTTGCGAGCAACTTTTTCGAACTTCTGCAACAACGGTTGCGCACCTGCCAGGGCCATCATCCCTGTCAAATAATACCATGCGGGACACATTCGTTTTTTCTTCGCGCGCGCACGCCGTCGTCGTCGGCCGCGGGGCCCTGAATAGTAGCCACGGTCGTCCGCATGCCACGAAGTGAAGTGTCCGAACGTCATAGGGCGGGAAGCTGGGTGTGGGTGGTGGCGAAGAGTCGTTTGGAAATTTGGTAGAGCTTGAACCAGCCCCCCCACAAAGTGGGGATATTGCCCGCCTCCTATGAAAACCCTGGCACTGGTGAGAACGGTGTGTCCCCACGTGCTAGTACTTGTTGTTGTTGTTGTTGTTTGCATTATTATTATTACTGTTATCATTGCTATCATTATTACTATCACTCGTATTTTTTTGAGTATTATTTTTCAGTATACATGTGATCATTCGTATCATGATTTTTATATTATCATTTTCATTATGCCCATTATTATTATTGGTATTATAAAAAGATAATAACAATTTCTTACCTGTATTATCATGTTCGGATATCTAGGGCCAGCGCCCTGTTTCGGAGGTTTCCTGGAACTTAAGTGAGTTTCGGAATTGATCTAGAGGTTGAGTTTAAGGAGAGAGAAAAACCAGAGGTGATTCAGAGCTCTGTCTGTAGTCCATCGTGGTTCAAAAGATAGAAAGATGGTAGCGGAGCTGGACTAGCTCCAGCTCCCAGTCCCGCCACTCCCACACCCGCGCGCCAGCGCGCGCGAGATCCGCTATTGGCGGCACGCCAGATCGAGACGACGGAGTTCGAGACTACGAGCTCCGCGACGGACATCCACGAGCGTTGGACTCAACTGGGCGTTGAGGACGATTGGCAACGGACTGTGCTGAAGTTGATTCGGTTCCGCCGACTGAAGGGATACTGACACGAGTTCGGGCAGTACTTGAACTGCGTGAAGAATCACAGGAGAGCCGAGCGGTTCGGTCTTCGAGATGGCGCTCAACCAAGAGACGTCCAACGAGATGCGCGACGCAGTGCAACAGGCTTGACAGGACATGCACGATCTACGGCAGCAGAACGCCGCGCTCCAGCGACAAGCAGACCAGGCCGGAGAGCCTGCGATCATCAGACGGCTCGGCGAGGTGCTCGAGAGAGTCGCAGAACGGCCGCCGCCACCAGCGGCCCAGCTGATTCAAGCGAAGGATATCGGGAAGCCACGCGCCTTCAAGAATGAAGAGTCGAAGTTCAGTGAGTGGCTCCAGAAGCTCAATAGCTACGTGCTCAGCGTCTTCGGCATGAACTTCCGGCCGGTGATCGAGTGGGCAGTCGACCAGGCGAACGACGCGGTCACGCTCGCAACGGCCGCTGCGACGGAACAGTTTGTGCATGAGGCCCAAGACGGCGAGGCAGTCGTCAACGTGGGCGAGAAGCTCTCGCAGCTCTACGCGGTGTTCGTCTCGCTCACGGAGGGCGAGCCCTTCGACCTGGTGGTCAGCGCAGGCCAAGGCAATGGAGCTGAGGCCCTGCGATTGCTGGTGCGGCGCTGGGATCCTACCAGCGGCGGTCGCCGCCGCGTGCTACTCAAGAAAATCATGGCGCCGACCAGGGTCGCAAAGCTCGAGAACTTGGCCCCAGAGGTTGTGAAATTGGAAGAGCTGGTCAGGCGCTACGAGAGGCGCAGAGCCGACGGTCGAGACGCACACCTAGACGACGAAATCAAGATGAGTGCGCTCGAGAGCCTCGTGCCGCAGGACGTCGAGATGCACCTTGCCCTCAACCGCACCAGACTCCAGGGCTACGCTGCGATGCGAGGGGAGGTCAAGAGCTTCCTGGAGACCAGACAAGCTCAAGGAGCCCTTGGTCGGTCGAGAGGCGACCCGATGGAGGTCGACGCGTTCGTCAGGAGAGGCGACGGCAAGGACAAGTACGGCAAGGGCAAGGGCAAAGATGGCAAGGGCAAGAACGGCAGCGGAAAAGGGAATACGGACAACTCGAACGTGATTTGCTGGAACTGCCGAAGGAAGGGCCATCGTGCACAGGACTGCTGGAAGCCCACCGAGAGAGGAAGTAAGGATGACAAAGGCACGGGCAAAGGATACGGCAAGGATCCGAAGGGTCAGCGTTTCCAACAGCGAGGCGTTCGCCGAGGCTATCTCAACAGCTTCGAGGGCGACGCGCACAGCACGATCAGCACGCAACTACCAACATCGGCCTCGCAGGCCGGTGTATGCAGCCAGTCGGCCGCCGCGCTCAGCTTCGACGCCTTCGAGCGCGTGCTGGAGCTGAGCAGCGTGGGGGCGAAGGGTGAGAAGCAGTGCGGGAAGTGCATTGCGATGACGTTCGACACCGGCGCCGCTGTCACGGCCTTCCCGCTCGAGCAGGAGGGCGAGTGCACCGAGGCCGACGGTAGCTCATGCCGCGCAGCCGCCGGCGAGGTCGTAGAGGGCGAGGGTGGCGTCGGCATCAAAGGAGTGTCGGAGTACGGCGAGAGTATGTTCCTGATGGGCAGGCGCGCGAACATCGGCAAGCCGCTCCTGTCCGCCTCGGCCACCGCCGCCAAGGGCCACTTCGCGTGGGTCGGCGCCTTCGGCGGCTACATCCTGAAGGAGAGCGAGTTTGCGCAGAAGATCCACCGGATGATCGACCAGTACGTGGCTGAGGGCAACGAGGGCGTCGCGCCGCTGCACCTGCAGAACGGAGTCTACAGGATGGACGTGCTGATGGACCAACCTGGCGGTGCCACTTTGTCGGGGTCGGCTCCTGTTGCCGAGCTCCGCCCGTGGGCGCCGTAGGCGGACCCTCATTGGCAGGCGACGGTCCCGTGGTAGGCGCGAGCGCCTCGGAGCAGCCGGAATCGCCGTCAGCGGGGCCGCCCGTGTGACCACCGGCGGCAGCGCTGGGGAGTAGAGATCCCGCTCCCAAGCCAGCTGATGTACGAGAAGGGATCGGAGACGACGAGGACTATGACGGTAATCCTCAGGAGGTCGCGCCAGCGAAAGTGCAAGGGGGAAAGCGACTACCTACTCGAGCTGAAGTTGACTGACGCGAGGCTAGAGGTCACGCTGTATTTTGAAATTGGTGTGAAGTTTGTTGCGCAGCTCGAGGGCTTGGCCAACCTCGTGAACTACAAGCTGAAGTTCGGGAAGGTGCAGATCCGGTTGTGGCCATCGATTTCGCGTTCATGGTCGAGGAGACCGGCGGGGGGGACGAGGGCCAGGAGGGCAATTTCCCGATGCTGATGGCCAGAGGTTCTAAGACGAAGTTGCCCTACTCGACAGCGATTCTGGGCAAGAAGGTCACCAACTTCATGATCAAGATTCTGATGAGCTTCATCCTGCACCTCGGCCACCGCAGGCTGATCTTCCAGAGCGACGGGGGGCCCGCGATCGTGGCGCTCAAGACGGCGGTCGCGGTGGCGACGCCGACGGTGGAATTCCTGCCTCGAGAATCGCCAGCAGGAGAGCACCAGAGCAACGGAGGCATCGAGGTTACTGCGCGAGAGGTCAAGAGGCAGGTCAGGGCGAACAGGTTCGCACTGGAGGCCAAGCTCGGCGGAAAGGTGGACGTTACCACCCGATCTTGAAGTGGTTGCCCCAGTACGCCGCGGCCTGCATTGGCCAATGCCGACGCGGAACCGACGGCCTCGCTGGAGAAGAGCGGTGCTCAGGCCGCGATTCGAAGAAGCTGGAAGCAGAGTTTGGCGAGCGGGTGATGTGCAGGCCGCTCGCGCCAGGAGGTCGCAGGAGTACCATGGAGGGGCGCGTGAAGTCCGGGAACTTCCTGGGCTACCACGTGCGGACGGGGGCCCTGTTCGTCATGGCGGTTGACGGCGCGGAGAAGGCCCAAGGTTTCAAGAAACTGCCGAAGGAGCAAGCCTGGGGCAGCAAGGACTGGGCAGCTCTTCGAGGAGTTCCCTGGGCGACTCGCCCGGAGGAGGAGGCGCCCGCTCTGGCGAGAGCGCCGGTCGTGGCTACCGTTAGGATGGGGCCGCGAGCCCTGCGAGCGAGGTACGTCCTACGCCGCGACATCGAGAAGTATGGTGCCACTGCGGGCTGTCCAGGATGTCTGGAGCTGACGCAGAAGGGCAATATCACGAAATCCCATAGCGACGAGTGCCGCGACAGGATCGCAGAGCTAATGATGGGTAACGATGAAGATCGAGTACGAGTTGCCGAACGCCACATTCGAGCCGGAGACCAAGCAGTACGCGGTCGAGGTGTTCGAGGTCGAGAAGCAGCTGGAGGAGACCAAGCTGCCCTACGGCCGCCCTCTGGAGACGGCGATCGAGCTCCTGCCCCAGAGCCGAGGGGCACCGAGATGGCGGTGGTGCCGGCCGGAGGCAGTGGAAGCGAACCGAGCGCTGCCAGGAGGCGCCGAGGAGACGCACCCGACCCTGGACGAGCTACCCGGGTACGAGGCGATGCGAGAGGAAGCTCGGCACCTGCAAGTGCTGAAGCTCGGCTCGCGCTCAAGCGAGCGGCGCCCCAGGAGGAGGCGCAGATGAACGTGGGGGACCTGGTCGACACAGCGATGTCCCAGGCAGGGCCATCAAGTTCAGCATCGGCATCGGTATCGAGACCGAGCCAGGCTCCAGATGGATCGATGGGCGTAGACTTCCTGGTGCGGATCAACGGCTACGACAAAGGCCGCGCGTTTATCATGATCTACGAGTTGGTGATGCTCGAGATGCGGACGAACGCCAACGTGAACGACGAAGAGCAGGCGGGGGAGATCGCGTCACTTCTTACCGAGATGTGCGCAGTGGACATTGTGGAGGTTTATTCGCCGGGAAGGTTTGCAGAGATGACGTTCAGGTGCGGCCTCGCGCACGGCCTGGCAGTGGATATCGAGACTGGTTGGGATCTGCGATTGCCCGAGCAACGAAAGGAGTGCAATAAGCAGCTGAAGGGCGAAGACCCGCTGCTGACGATCGTCAGCCCCCCGTGCGCGCCATTCAGCAACTTGCGGGCGCTCTCGGACTCAAAACGAGACCCGAAGATCGTGGTGGCGGAGATCCTGGAAGGCGAGACGCACCTCAACTTCAGCATGGAGATCTGCAAGGAGCGCTACAAGGCAGGGGAGCTATTTCTTCACGAAGCACCTGGGCCAGCGAGTAGCTGGCACCGCCCAAGCGTTCAGGAGGGCATACAGTTGGCAGGCGTATTCTTAGTCCATGGGCCTATGTGCCGCTGGCGCATGCAGGCGACCGACTCCAACGGAAAGTTGGGCTTCGTTCGTAAGGAGACCAGGTGGCTCACTAACAGCGAGCTGCTCGCCGAGATCCTAAAAGGCTATTGCCGGTGCCCCAGGGGTCCGAACGGAGAACTCGCTCGCCATGTTCATCTGGTTGACGGACGCGCCGAACATGCACAACGATGCCCTCCGAGCTTGGTGGCAGCTATTCTCAAAGGCCTACGAGAGGAGCTTCGACGACGAGAAGGGCCCAACCTACTTGCAGCTCTTTGTGGAGGTCCACGCCCACATGAAGAAGATACTGAAGTGTTCGCTGAGTGCCAGGGCGACTACTTCATCGACGATCTCACGGGTGAGATTTTGGACTCCGAGGGTGTGCGGGCCGCGAGGCAAGAAGGACTGGATTGGTGCCGCGGGAGGCAGGTGTGGAAGAAGGGGCCTAGACGCGAGATGCTCGAGAATGGCAAGGAGGCAGGGACTTTGACATGGATCGACACGAAGAAGGGCGACCGAACTCAACCGCGGTATCGTTCGAGGCTGGTCGCGAGGGAGATTAAGAAAGCTATGGGGTCCGAAGATCGACCAGATCAAGCTGAACTATTCTCGGCCATGCCACCGCTGGAAGCGTTCAAGGCGATGGTGACCATCTTCGTCGGCCGCGTGGACGACGCCCACCGCGACGGCGACGCAGAGGAGATCAGTTACAAGTTTCGCGACATCTCGAGGGCGCGCTTCTATGGAGATGTGAATCGCGAAGTGTATGTGGAGTTGCCCGAGGAGGAGACCCGCGACGATCCAGAACCCATGGTGGGCAGGCTACTCAAGACGATGTACGGCACAGTAGATGCAAGTCGTGTGTGGCAAGACGACTACATCGGCCTGGCGAGCTAGCACGGCTTCAAGAAGGGCGTCTCGAACCCAGCGCTGCTGTGCCACGCCGAGCGTCATATACAAGCGGAGGTCCACGGTGACGACTTTGGTGTGATTAGGCGCAAGTCCCAGGAGGGGTGGTTCGATGACGTGCTTTCGCGTTGCGACTTTAAGGTCACTGGTATTCTGAGCAGCAGGCCCCTGGAGGAACAGAGCGTGGTCTATCTCAACCGGGTGTTGATCTGGAGTCCCTTCGAGCGTTCGGCCTACCTCGAAGCGGACGCCCGGCGCGTGAAGAAGGTGATCAGGGACCTGGGCTTGGAGAATGCGAAGGAGGTGACTACCCCGGCTGTTAGGAGGAGGTCGGTCGCGGAGATCCTGAGTAGCAACCAGACCTCGCCGAAGCTGGGCGACGAGAAGGTGAAGACCTACCGCAGCGTGACCATGCGGATCATGTGCCCGAGTCTGGACCGGCCCGACATCAGCTACAGCGCGAGCATGCAGGCTAGACGCGTGAAGGAGCCGAAGGAGACCCGCATGGAGGATCTGAAGCGCATTGGCCGCTACTTGAAGAAGTGCCCCGCTGGAAGGTTGCTGTTTCCTGCTCAGAAGCTGCCTAGAAAGGTTTGTGTTTACTGCGACAGCGACTGCGCGGGGGATTCGATTACGAGGCGTTCCCGAAGTGGAATGGCCATTCTATGGGGGGCGCATCTGCTGAAACATGGCAGTTCGGTCCAATCCACGGTGAGCTTGAGCAGTGGCGAGGCCGAGTGCTATGCATTACTGCGTGGAGCCTGCCACGGTTTTGGAGTACAGGCCACTTTGGCCGACCTTGGATTGAGGCGGACTACGAGATGGACCTCTACATTTTCACTGATAGCTCAGCCGCGAGAGGAGTTGCAAGCCGACAGGGGCGGGGAGCTGTTCGACACTTGGATGTTCGATTTCCATGGCTGCAGGAACGTATTCAGAGGAAAAGGCTGTTGCTGAAGACGGTCGATGGGGCGCTGGAACCCGGCGGGCCTGTTCACGAAGGCCCTCGACCAAGACACGATGGAGCGGTTGATGAAGCTGATGTGTTTCACGATGAAGTTCGACGGTAGCGTGAGGCGCCGTGTGCTGTGATATTTGACGCCGGCTGTTTGCCGGCGCATGTGTCGTGAAAAATGATCGAGGCGCTGGTTCCGTTTTGGACTTTCGCCTTCCGCCTCCGCCCAGCCGCGGCGACGAAGGCCGAGGGGGGGGTGTTCGGATATCTAGGGCCAGCGCCCTGTTTCGGAGGTTTCCCGGAACTTAAGTAAGTTTCGGATTTGATCTAGAGGTTGAGTTTAAGGAGAGAGAAAGACCAGAGGTGATTCAGAGCTCTGTCTGTAGTCCATCGTGGTTCAAAAGACAGAAATATATCATTCATATGTATGTATGTATGTATGTATGTATGTATGTATGTATGTATGTATGTATGTATGTATGTATGTGTGTATATATATATATGTGCTGATATATCGGGGTGGCCTCGGGCCAGTGCCGCCGATCCGGGGGGGTGAGAGCGAGATGATGATGATGATCCAGGGCATCTTGGGCGGTTCGAGCGATGTTTCGGCGATTCGGGGCCCTTTTGCATTGTCAAGGGGGCCTCGGGGGCCTCCCTTGGCTTCCTCTTGGGCTGTCTAGGGCGGTCGGGGCTCCGGAAGTGGAGTTTTTCTATGCCCCCCTGTCCCCGGGTACCGAAAAACGTCGGAAATGACGTCGGACATATCCTTGGGTACCGAAAAATGTCGGAAATGACGTCGGACATATCCCCGTGTACCGAAAACCGTCGGAAATGACGTCGGAAATAACCCCCCCCCCCCCCTGCAGAGCGAAGCTTGGGCGAGCTCAAGTCCACGCTATCAGAAACTCACGCGCCGGATCGGCGGCTCTCTCTCTCTCTCTCTCTCTCTCTCTCTCTCTATATATATATATAGATATGACTACGCGAGCATGTCTGGGACTGATCTGGGGCGGAAGCAGGTTCCCTGGGGAAAGGGTGGAGCCTTTTGGCTCGAGTGTTTTTTCCGGCGGGGAGCGCGCCGTGGTCCGTCTTCCGTCTGGCCCTCGAGGTAAGGGGCCGACACGGCAGGGCCGTTGTGCGTCACCTGATGATGCTTGTGCGGGACCTCGCCCAGGGGCTGGGGGAGGAAGAGGGCAGCTCCGCAGTTGCCAGCGCCCTGACGCAGCGCTGGGGCGCCGAGCTGTCCGTCGCCTTGCACGGCGCGACGGCGCGGCAGCTGCGTACGAGCCTCGGCGGTGACCAAGCGGCGGGTGTGGCTGCCCTCCGCGAGGCGGTGGTGAGTCGAGCCCGGGCGAGCAGCGGCGGCGGGCCCGGCCGGCGTTGGGGCGCAGCCGTGTGGCGGTGGTGAAGCGGGGCTATTCCGTGCTTTCGTTGCTCCTGCTGATCAGACTGCGTTTGTTTGTTTCGACATTCCTTGGTGCTCGTACGAAGGGGAGGAGGAGGATGAGTTTGAGGATGAGTTTGAGGGAGGAGGAGGA